CAAGGCAACCCGCCGTCGTTCATTTCCAAGTGGATCATGTTGCCTTTCGAGATCTCCATATATCCGTTATGTGAGTCTCAGCAGTTTCTCACTTAATCATCCATCATTTGCGTTGTCTTTTGTAGGTGTTTCCGGTAGCGAATGCTTCGTTTCCGGTATCGAGTCTGACTTCGGCCGTGAAGAAACGAACTACTGCATTGATCTGCAGGTTAGTATAGATTATGCTCGAGGTTTGCAGAAAATCGCTTAAATGTGCCTTTATTTGTTACTGATGTTACCATGTATTTACTCGTTTTTCTGCATCGTTTATTCCTCATATCTTTGAAAAGCTTCTAAGGTTTTTTATTAAAAACTACAGAGCTATTATGCTGTTCTGCAGCAGTAAGGGGCTTATGTATGAAGCTGATGAAGCTACGAATATATCAAGTGGATTATAATTACTGTGATGGTGTGTACTTCGGTCAGATGAGTAAATATCTAAAGGCTTCAATTGGAGAGCGCATGAAAAATATCCGGGATAACCATGTTTTATACTATTGCTTAGTTGTCCAAGCCCTTGAAAACTACCACGCCTTTAATAGTAGCGATATTCAGATTGACAGCCACGACTTCTTATCTAGCTGCATTTCATTTCGGCATCTGGTAAAACTGGTCTTTAATGTTTAAGTTACGCCCCTGAACCATATTATCTTACCACCGCATGTGTATGTGTAAAATGTATTTGGGTAAATTTCAGAGTCAAGTGTTCCTGCATCACATCCTTAAACAGCTCATAAAGCGGAACCTTGGAAACTACGCGCTGGAAATTGCCCATTCGTACGGTAATCTGCAGTACTTTCCTCATCTGTTGGAACTTTTACTTCACACCGTTTTGGAAGAAGAGGCGGCATCGTCAGGCCCTATACCAGGTTAGCGTTTGGAATTATCGATCAGTAGTGCATTGCTTGCGTTTTAGATCCACTATTGCCAAGCATCATCGACTTCCTTAAAGAGTTCAAAGAATTTTTGCGAACCGTCGCTCACTGCGCCAGAAAGACGGAAATGGCTTTGTGGAAACACCTTTTCCAAATTGTCGGTAGCCCGAAGGACCTTTACAATGTAAGGAAGTGAACTTTTGATAGTGGGGATGGCATCGTGAGACTGCCTCTTTAATTTCATATCTGAAATCCTTTCCAACTGAATTGTTTGATAGGCCTTCTGGTACACTATTGTGCTTGGTCCTAGCAGCCGTAGCAGGACTGATGTTCAACACTACTAGCTTAACTGCAGTGCAGCCAATAGGACGAATGCCAGAAATACTTCTGAAAGCACTGTGTATTCATCCATCTTGATTTTCAAAATAAGTTGTTAGAATTCGATGGTTATGGTCAAACTGATAGTAGGTTGTCTGACTAGGAACATCATGACCAATCAACAAACTGATAGATCCATTTGCTAATCAGGAATAAACTGCAAATGATGTTCATTTTGATCCATTCCCTTCAAGGTTTCATACGGTATGGTTGCCAGATGTTTCTTTTTTCTGCTGTCATGACTACAGCCTTGTATGTTTTATACTGCTCTCTTCTTCAGTAGTCACCTGAGACTTCTTCACGTTGTTGAAACAGTGTCTTATTTGAATCTGTATTCTTCTCAACGAACTTTGCTACGTTTATTTAATCACACTTCGTTTTTCAGATCTGTCTGGAAAACAAAGAATTGGACACTGCTACGTCGTACTTCATCATATTGCAAAGTACAGAATCCGCTGCTGATACAAAGGAGGTAAAGTTTTGGTGATTATTTTATCCATAATTAAAACAAAACAGCTGCTCATGTAGGTCGTCAAACGTGTCTCGTGATTGTAAGGTTTAATATGTCTGAAAATCTTGTTTTCAACGCCTCATATCCTGAAACGAGGACTCGGTGAATCTGTACGACTGAGAATGTGCGCCCCTTTCCCTTTGGCTTATGTTCATGCGTCGTGGACCATGATTTGAAAACTTCGATGCGCGGTTTAAAGAGTTTTCTGAGAAGAATCACTGAACTCACCTCCCCCCCCTGTACATGGCCCAGGGTCAAAAATATTCGATAGAGTCTTGGTGCACAGCATCTGCTTTTCCATACTGAAAAGTCAGCTGTGACGGGTGGGCCTGTATTGCGAATGCTTCCAGAATGAAAGGCGAAACTGGCAACCGCTTAACCAACCAACCGATCAAATACCCTGCGGATGGTTAGGAATGACCCGAGGCAAGTGTTTAGACGGAATCTGTCCCATACTCAGGTTATCTTTTGCCGAAACATTGAAGACTTTATCGATGACTCGTCTGCCTCTGAGATCGGAAAGATCAAACAGTCATCGAAGTTTAAGTTTTTCAGAATTAACAAATGCAGTGAAGTCTCGATTATCCTATTTAAAAGGGCCGAAGGATGTTTGAATGAACGAAGCTTCTCTCATAAAAATTGAGGAATGTCTAATGAAAGTAAGATGGAAAAGTTGATGGGGCGCACATTTCACATTTCATGCTTTTCTTGTTGTCTTCTGTTTTGGTATCGCCTGAAATTAGTTTCACCTTATCAGGGTTAATAAACGGTAGAACCTTAGGAAACCGTGTTTTCTTCTCAACACGAAAGATATAACGAGCTGTAAAAATGAATAAATCTTTTTATTTAAAACATAAGTTCATTCACTTCTGTTCAGTCAGAAATCGAAGCTGTTATCTGCTCACTTTCGACCTCTAATTCTGAGCAAGAGTTTTTAGAGCCGCTGCCATACCAAGTTAGAAATTGGATGGTGAATTGCACACTGCTTCACTCCGAGGTTTTCAAACTGCGGCTGTTTCTGACTAAACGCCGGCTTCGTATTTCTATGATGTCCTATACTATTCCTTATTTTGTTTGCTCTCAAACCTTCGTTTATATATGGCTAAAAGTTGACAGAAGGTTTAAAAATAAACATTGCAAAATGCGATAATGATTTCAAATAATGAACATAATATCGTGCCGTTGCTTGAACACGGACAAATCCTTTGTTAAATAATGAACTGAAATTTGTTAAATATTTTAGTTGGCAACATCGCTTTTGAAAACAGTCCTTTCGTGCAGGAAGTGGTCCATAGCTTATGAAATCATTCGCTTTTTAAAATCTATAGGTAAGTAGTTTGTAATTAATTTGCAAATTTGCATTTAATTTTTAATATGAATTAATGTGCAGCGACTGTTGCAACAGCTGCACTCTACCATCCCGCAGAACGGTTTTAATACATGCTCAGATAGAAGTAGCGGAAATTTCGACTTTCAGGGTGAAATCGTCCTGCCTTTTCCCTGTTTAAGTTTTGATCGCCTTGTGAAATGTCTCCTTTATACCCCTGTGATTAAGTGTTTCATAGGTTCACATTTTCCAGAGCGAGTCCCAACTGAATTTTAGGCATTACTAAACTATATAGATTGTTTGCAGCTTAATTTAATTGATGAGACTTACCTTATGCATAGAACTGCAGCACTCGCAATAATTGACAAAACAAAGTTTTTAGTTTTTGCGTGAATTTTTCTCTTTTCTTAATATCTTAATTTAAATAATGGAAAACAAATATTTTCACAAATATCCAGATGTTTTCGGTTGTTACCATGAATCACAGTTTCTATTGATTAATAATTAATTTTAAATATATGATTTTCAAG